GGAAGCAGTTGATGGCCGACAGATGTAGGGATCCCCGAATCTGGTTGTCAGACCAAACGAAACTCCAGACCCATTTGAAGCTGCCGAGAAGATGAGGTACGATTCCTCGCTCTCGCGTTGTCTGTCGACTGGCGCGGTTGGCTAGTGGATGCTTTCTTGTAGCGCCGAGGACGTCGCTCAAAAGTAGAGAAGGGCAGTGTAATGCTTTGTTTATGCGACTATCTGACGTTTGGCGGACACTCTAGGACTTGTCTGGGCCCTGTACACGTGGGCTGGCCTTCGGGCCACGCTCAGGCCCCATTTCTCCTAATGCTTTCGGAATACATGCATTCAACCGCACTTATGCCTTCTACTACCCCATTGGAAGCCTCGGGACGCTACAACCGGGTATCTAACGCTTACCTTTGCCTCTGTACACGTGAGCTGGCCTTTGGACTTTGCTAAGGCCTTTTTTTGTTTTACTTAAATTACTTCTATTTTGTCCGACGTAATGTTTTCTCCTGTATAGGGGACGTCTTCGAGGCCCTACAATGAATAGTAAAAATAAAGGAGGACTTTGGTATGAAATGGATTTTAAACGCTAGCAAATCGGGTTGTAAATACGCAAATGTTCGGACAAATGAAAAAGACAAATATTTCGGGCAAAGAGTGTGGTCTAAAAATGTCACGAAGTTTATTGAAAAGTGATAATTTTGTGCAAATAAACGATGGTTTTACAAATCTGAGGTATTTTAGGGGGCCTCAACAATGTATTAGCTTGACATTCGTTTGTGCTTTCTGAAGGACACTCGGAACACAAGTTAGACGCGCATGGTATAAAAGTAACGAAAAGTCAGTAATCCCTCTTTTAGCGCAGCTTTTGGAAAGTGCTAGCGAAGAATACGTGAACATGTTTTCTCTGGCAGCACACACAGATGTTCGTGCATTTCCGCGTTTCTTCAAACAGTTTATTAAGAGATGCGTCTTCACGAAGAAACAAGTACTTCGTGATATTTCGTTTCGTGATGCTAATTTTGGAATTGCATTTGATGTCGATGGGGTTTTTACAAGAGGACCTCTAGTCTTACCTGACGCCCTTCGAGCCTCCGAAATGCTGCATGAAGAAAATGGGAATTGGCGTATTCCTGTCTTATTTCTTACAAACGCAGCAAATGTATCAAAGGAAACAAAAGCGGATGAAATTTCTAGCATATTGAAAAGAAAGGTAGATATTTTGTGCGAATATACTTTTAGATTTTGCCTTCAGAGATCGTAACGCCAAATTCGGCTCTGAAAATTTATTCGGTATTTGACAAACATGTCGCTGTTTGTGGTCATGGTTCTCTTAAGGCGGTCGCAAAAAGCATTGGATTTAAAAAGATTTCCACAATCGAGGATATTTCTGCAAACTTTCCTTGGCTAGATGCCTGCAGACCAAAGGAAGTTCTCTATTCTGTAAGTGCAATTCGCTCAAATGCTTACGCTGAGCAACGCCACATTTTCCTCATCTTATGCCTAATTGTTCTAATTGGGTCAAACAAATATAGTTAACAACGTTTTCCACACTCATTGTGTGCTTAACCAATGCAATTTCATGTAAGCCATCAATCCTTTTTTATTTTCTTTTCAAAGGACGCGTTAAAGAGAGCAGATTTTAGCAAGATTGAAGGTAGGATTTTTAAAAGTTTTTTTTAATTTTGTGCCTACGTTTCTAATGACTACAATTTATTGATATCCCATTTTATCGTATTAGCAACTCAATTTTTGGCTTTACTTCAGAACTTCTAAGTTCTTGTTTCCCCTGTTAGCAATCGTTTTACTCGGGGAACCAGAACGCTGGGAACAGAGCCTTCAGATAATTCTTGATCTACTCATTCATAACGGAGATCTGAACGGTGTCGTCGGAACGAGATTATGTAGGTCTAAATGAGCTCGGAAGTGGTGTCTAGCACTGTGATAAACTCAGACCTCTCCGTCACATTATACTTTACCTTGGAGTCTTTGCTCCGATGGCAATGTTATTAATGATTTCGAAATTCAACTGATGTCAACCTATTTGTTGCGTATTATTTTGCAAATTAAGCTGACACGGGATGGAAATTTGTAACATTTATTTAATAGTGTGCATTCAGACCAACTGATTTCAATTATGTTTTTTATTTCATAATTAACAATCACATTAGCTAAATCACCTCCTCCCCAGTTGCCAATTTTTGTCTGCGGAAGCGATCTCGTATGGGCTAGCAATGCTCCCAGTCCACGAATCGCCATGGGAAGCTTTTTGTGCTGCCTGGATACCCTCTACGAGAACCTGACTGGCCGACGTATCACCTACACTGGCCTGTTGGGCAAGCCAAACCCTCTTGCATACATCTTTGCCCTCTCTCAACTCAACGCCATTGCGGCAAAGCGGTTTGGTGCCACACAGCCCCTCAAACGCATCTATTGCATTGGGTGAGGTTGCTATCATTTAGCCTATCAGGTCCACACCTCTGTTTCCAAACCTGATCTCTGTGAAGCGCGTCAACTTGTAGATATACATGGACTATTCATTTGTAATAACTGGTGTACGTTTAGACACCCTTAGACTTGGAATTGCTACAGTATCTAAGACGAGACGGTCTGCAAGTCAAATTTATTGAGCAAATATGTTGGCAAATCAGATTATGCGTCTTCACTGCGACGATTAAGATTTTTTCTTTAATTGAAAGACATGAATTTATGCATTGCTATGTCGGTTTACGACAAAACGAGACCTATACCTATATAGATGTGGACCTCTTTGTAAGGCAAGGGCAGAGCTCAACTATAGAATCAAGCACTGATGGTTACCTCGAAACGTGGGTATCTTAACTCCTGTTGAGTTAAGAGTCCTATTGAGTTGTTGCAAATTAAGGTCTTAGCATTAAACTTTCCGAAAAATGCCCTTGATTCTCACTTATTGAAGCAACATTTCCAACTTTAATGGGTTGGCAAACTTATGCATGATGGTCTGGAGTGACTACGTGGCCTCCACCCGACTTCGAAGCAAATGGAGTCCGATTAAAAATAAGTTGTGCAAATTTAGCTTATTTTCCAGCACTACTTTGATATCCATTCTCAAGAGCAAATCTACACGTAGCTGAGACTTCATCTTAAGACCTTTCTATCTGTTTGCCATTCCTTCCATTTCCTTTGTATGTAGTGACAATCCCGAGGTGGACATCTACGGAGCCAACCTCTTCAACCTCTACCTTCAGACCATCTCTGATGAGACGTGGAGCCCCCTCTTTGAGTTGATAAGCACGCTGGTGCAAGAGGAGCATCCTTGCCTTTTCTCCGGCCCCTCCACGAACAAATGCGACCGACCGGAGCTGCTCATCGAGAAGGCGATCAAATGGAGCCAGCTAACTCGACGCTCCAAAACCATGCTTGAGACACTCAGGGAACTAGTAATAGAAAAACCGAAACGATCCCCCCCATGCACTATGGAACCTATCCTAGTAACTTCCGGTGTCTACCAGGTAACCTGTCTCCACTTTTCCTTAGGACATTACAAATCACGAAACCAAAAGTAGTACACGATAGAGTCAAGACGCCTCGATGCCACTGATGTGAACAAGGATCGTGTTATGAGCAGACATTGACGCCGGAAGAATTTAAACTTAAACTTAATTCATAGGCATTGGTCTTCACTCTTCGGCTTGAAAAACGTTTCATCACATGCAAGTGATCTCCTGCTGTGTCCAGTCTATCGCTCAAGCTTTTGCTGATGAAGTTATAAGATGACGGAGTCCAGAGGTGGTCAGATTGCTGTCTCTGGAAAGACTTGCACTCTTGTAGACGCATCCAAGCGAGATGGAACCACATAAGGCTGCAGGAAAGACTCACATAAGGTAGCTAGCTTTTATCTAATGCTCCTCTTTGATGTTTTTGCCTCGGAGGAAAATGGTTCGATCTGCTTCAAAAGGTGTCCAAGTGCTTAATTTCCTTTTCGTTCTCATATTTGGAGTTATCTGCCGTGAAGTCAGCTTTTCTTGCGCTAACGTAACCAACCCTTCCTCCCTGGTGCGTAAACCTAACGAAATTGTAAATAGTTTTAAGCAATCCTAGTTGAAACACTTTGTCGGCATGACATTCGAAATTGCGAGAGACCCAAATCGGTCATCAAATGGAATAGTCGTCGTTATCGACGTCTTACTCTGAGACACCTTCATGTCTCCTCTCGTGAACAGACCTCCAATCCACTCAGTGTGAACGGTCAAATGAAGTGCCTTCACCAAGGTGACTGAAGTTAAGGGCGTTAGATTGAAGCTCCGTATTTCGCCAGTGGGAGCACTTGTCTTAGGTTCGATGAGGAAACCTGCTCGCCAGTGAAAAACGCGTACCATTAAGAGATTCTTCCGGTAACTTTTGTATTCTATCCTCCAATTTCCTATTTTCGGAGAATTATTACCAAAGCAACACAAGTGGACTAGCGCTTTTTTTAGAACCCAGGAAAAGGGTTCTTGGTATTTACAGTAAATTTGTACAAGAGCTTCCAAAAAGATGGTCTTGATTAACCCAGATCGCGTCCTGCCCTCTTAATGGCGACTGTTGAGATCTTGACTCCAGAATTTGCCTTGTTTTTGCATTGTTGTGGAGCAACAGACATCCAGCTGAAAGCGCGACCATCTCTCTCCTTGGAACAAGCCCTCCAGCTTTACATTAAGCCTTTAAGAAGTCGTAAGTCGTGTGAACTTGGGGCTGACTTCCTTCTACGGGCGAGTAGACTGACCCATCTGACAATCCGTCGGTTGGTTTTAGAGCCACCAGAAAAGCAGTTGTGGATGCCTGCGAAGTTTAAATTCTAAAAGATCTGGGTGACTAGAAAAAGAGGTCCATACCGTCAGTCAAATATTGAAAGGCATACAGAAAAGTTTTAATTTGAATGTGTGTCTACCATAGGAAACTGAGGGAGTGCCAGATGAATGGAAGGGTCTGCACCATGTACTGCAGGACTTTTCGGACCTCTCTCACCTCTACGAGCCACGCTTCGTGTCTCCTAACGTGGCTGAAGCTGTTGCCTCCATCCTCTCCTTGGAATGCGCCCTCGGCAGTTCAGAGGCCACATCCATCCCTGCCTCCGCCAACGGTGACCTCAATTAGACCGCTAACCCTCCATTGTCTTTGAAATTCCACAGAGAAAAGGCTGCCCCTTTATTGCTTCCACATTATTTTCTATCAGGTCCTCCCAAGTCACTTCAGCTTCGATTCTGTTGCATTTCTCATTTGTTCGTGATTCAAGATGTATACTTCGAGAATTACCTTACATCAAGTTTATTTCATGTTTTTTACATTCAGCAAACCTTTTCTTTAATCTGGAAGGACTTAACAGAGGGATGCGACATAGCTTTTGAATGAATGAGTTAGGAGTTGATGAAGCTGCCAAACGTACGTATTGAAGTCCTGTTTGGCGCCATTTCAGAGGTGTTGGCGATTGGGAAGGTTTCGATAACCATGATACTTGGCCTTGCATCACAAGTGGTCAGTAGTTTGCGCCGTACATTACTTTTCACATAAACACCTCTTGAAAGTTTACTGATCAAAGTGACACTCATTTGTGATTACATGGATTTAAACGGCGGCTCTTATCATACAGACATGACAGCTTTTTTCACCTTTTGAATGAACCGAGGATTTTAGCGACACTTCGAAAGGTCTCAGTCTTAACAAAGGTCTGATTGAAAGTCTTGGACTCGGATGACATTTTAGGAAGTGATAAAAACTAAATTGTTCGCCTTCTAATCACTGAAAATCGAATGGCTCAACGCTTATCTCGCTCTTACATCATGTTATAGCATCCTTCTTACCGCTGCAGCACTTTCTACGCTAAGGAAGAGCAAGGAGGATGTGACACGAATGTGATCAGAGTAACACTAACTAAGGCAGATTTCTAAACCCCTAACCGAAAGAAACGCACAGGGGTCATTGTTTTATTTATCATGTAGAGCATAAACTTGACATTTTGACGTGCCGCTGCGTGACGCACGAGAGTCTTCATGAAATCATAAACGAAACAAAACACTCAGAAAAAGGTCCTCACACGGGTACAGACCGATTGTTGCTTCTTTTGGGCCAGCTGCATTAGCCACTTGTCGTAAGGATTTTCAGAAGAAAAAAATTCCTCTGGTGTCTCGTGACTCTTATCGCACAGCACCGAAATGAAAAAAGAGCAGAATTTTGTGTGCTTATCCGAGAATTTATTGTGCGACGGTGTACATAAATTACCATCCCAAGGGCAAAGCAGATCTGGCTTGCACTTTCTTGTCAACCTGGGCCTCATGCAAATCAGTATTTTACGCAAAAAGAGCGTCCACTAATGGAACCGATTCAAATGACCCTTCAGCAACTTTTCGCATCGCTTGCATATTTGGTGCCACTAATTTGACAAGAAGGTATTCGATTTATGTAAGGAAAAACAAAATCGAGATCAGACAAAGAGGTGAGGGCTAAACATCCAGGTACGTCGCACGACGACGTTATGCCACTGGTCTATCCACGATGACTCCTCCGTCCGAGGAGGTACTTTGAAAGAATGGGAAAAATTGTAGGAGAAACTGCATCTACGTTCTCCACTTTGATACATTCTTCCCGAGAAAAAGTATGCTTTTTGCCATATAAAGGTGGCGAGCAGATGAAGTCCGTGATGTCTACCACTTTCAAAATCACCATATCCCTCCAATCTGGAAGAAGGATGCCAATAATTTCACAAATGCTATCGCAAAAAGCTGGCCAAGTGAATTTAAGGCGTTTATGCATGCATGGTAAACCTTTCTTTTTCATACGACTCGTTCATTGTGTCACCCATGGTGTTGGTATCATGAGCTCCTCAGTAAGCCTTTCAAACTCAAGGATTCCCAAACAGCTTCAAAGAATAACAGTGCTCTAGGGTGCAGTGGAATCACACGCCTCACTGACTGTCGAACAAATCTTCATTAACTAATACATGACTTACGGTTTTATGGACCCAGTTGGTCACTTCGCACGGACAGTACCACCGAGAGTGATTCATGAACTTTCAGTGTTCCACAAGTTGGAGCATCAAAAAAGCCTGAAACGGCCGATCTCGAGTGAAGATCAGTAAGTCAGGTGGTAGCAGACGTACCTTAGACACAAAGTATCGCAAAAGTATGCAAAATATGCGCAAAATGTTTGTGAATTTCGATTTTGAAACTACACCTCTTGGATGAAGAGAGAGTCCAAATTCCACCACAATCTAAATGAAGTGGTAGGTGGATTGGATGAACAAAGAGTTCGATTATAAGACAGAAGGTAGTCCCGACCACTTCAATAGAGGTGCAGTGATGACATCCATTTGCTAGCACGTTTTATCCGCACTTTAGGAAAAGAAAAGTCAAGTTATAAACTCATTTCCATTATAAATAGATGTAGCGCAGGTCGCGATGCAGATAAGAGAGATCGCTTCGTTTATGCTTGTTCAAAGCTGCAATAACTAACAGCTGGGGATAGATTTCCAGGTATGCCAATGAAGACATTAGACGAAGGATTGGTATTAACAGCAAGTTGAAACAAGTCGACTAAGACAACCGACTTCTAATTCTTCAAAAGTCTGAATTTGCGCACGGCGGCTTAGTGCACACAAGTCCAGTTAGGTGAATTAGTTTCCGTTATTTGTGTCACTTCTACAAATTCCGACAAAAAGGGCACTGGAATGAACATCCTCATGCAAAGCCTCAGACATCGACAATTAACCTGACTACAAAGAAATGCATTTTAAACTCTCCACAATAGAGTACAGGAAGTTAAAAACATGCTAACGTCATTTTACAGCTCGAAATGACGCGATTCATCACGCATCATAAGTAACTAGATCCCCAAGTTCTCTTAGAATTTTCTAGAAATAGCATGAACGCTGCAGTGGAAAAGAGCACCAGTTTCTCGGTAGCACTGCACCTGCACCAGCTCTGATGGCGTCCTTGGAAGATTTGTGGCAGTGGAAAGCAAGAGTGAAACGGCAAAAGCAAACTCACCCTCTTCCTGCTTAAGCGTGCATAAACACTTTACACAAACCCTCTAGGGTGAAATGATTCATTTGATTTGTGTGTCACCTTCGAGGACTAGGTGCGCAAAGGCAGATCGCAACGACCGTCCATTATTAACTACCAATAAATAAAGCGGCAGCACCTTTGATCTAAGTGCCTAGATAACCTTCCAGCTTAAACTTCGAGGTCGGCTTGACGACTCAGAGTACAGCAAGGAGAATGTCGCATTCAAAGAGTGAATCAAAATTACAGTATCACTCATTGCTACCAACAACCACCACAAAACATCTCCGCCAAACTTCAAGCTCGTTGGCCAAAACACTGACCAGCAAAGCGCATTGATAATCGAAAATCAGTTGCTTCGTTGAACGGGCAATTAGAGCAGACCGCTTCACTACTGAAGGATTGCGATCCCACATTTTTAGAAATGATAAATTATTATCTGATTGTCACCAAAATCACAAAAATCGACAAAAAGGACAACCTGTGGATGATTTTGAGTTGCTTGGTCGAACCTACTTGCCATACATATCATTGGAATACATCCCAGAGGAAGCATAACCCCCGACGCACAAGCAGTAAGAAGGAGCCGGAGCAATGGTACAAAAATGCAGCTGCCTTATTAAGAACGGTTGGGACACGCATAGATTATGATTTTTTGATCACTGCCGACAGAAAGCAAATGAGAGCCGTCATCGTTGTAACGCACAGCCCAGACCTAGAAAAAAAGACGGGAACAACATTGCACCTCGTCTTGAACTTTTGAACCGAGCATTGTTGGGACGATAGCGACAATTTGCAGTGCTTTGCAGGGCAGCGAACCGATTACTTAACCAATACGACTAACTGCCCCAAAATAGGGATGACAAAGACGAACCTGATCCTCATGGTCGGTAAAGACGTGCTCCTCTGCCTTTGCGACGACGTCCCATACACGAACAGTCTTGTCGGTGGATGCGCTGGCCAAATGGCGGTTATCTGGACTGAAAACTGTCGAAACCACCCACGAAGAGTGCCCATTCAGGCTCGATGCCACCAGACGTCCATCGTTTCTGCATTCAAGACGGACATGGCTTTACTTCTGCGATGCCAACTGCTTACAATGTTGTTAATGGTCCTGAAAAGCTACTTTAGCTTCAATGTTTTCGATTGTAGCTAGACAGTCCACCATTAACACCTTCACAGAGTAAAAGAACAGTGCTACCTCCAAATCCTCAATACCAGCGTTTACCGAATAAAAGCTTCGGCTCTAGAATAACTCTTTTTGCCGATCAGGATCAAGGAAGAATTGCGGAAACGTAAAATCATTTGAAAGATACTATAAAACATTTGTCAGCACTTTTCAGTGAAAGTTGGAAGCAACAACTTTAATAGTTACCGATTCTGGAACAGATTGCTCAAGATTTAAAAAAATTTCCTCGCCAAATAAATTCACTTCGTACTCAGTTTCGCAAACAAACAATTCAACGTGGGAGTGAAACTGCTCAATGGAAGAAGAGCAGAAGAAATTGGAAAAGTTCTCCTTAGCGAACAACTTTATCGCTTCATTTGAATGAACTTAAATCCATATTGGATGCCTCCAGACGTCAAAGATCTCCTAATCATCAAACTAGCCTAAAAGATGAATTGGTTGGGTCGTCATTTTTGTTCGAAGTGACGCTTCATTAAGGAAAAACCCACTAGAAATGCTACCCCATAAGTTCGACAAAAAGCCAACCGCTTTTTGGCCAATGAGTCGAAAACTTAACAAAATATTTGGCAGCAAAAAAAATTGTGCTCCTTTGAGTGGAACTTGATAATGGTTTTTATCCCCGAGTTTGCTGACTGTGGCAAAAGTTCCGTGCACCTGATTTGACATTAACATAAGTTCTATTTTCTCGACTCTAATTGACGTTTTATGGTAACAAAAGTGACACTAGTAAAGCGACCTGAAGGTTCTCCAATTAAATACCACCGTCAAAGGACTTGAAAACAGGAAAGGGGACCAGTAGTATTAACACGTGCGTAGAGCGTGTGGCTACATGGATTACATAATGAGTGGACTAGGCTACACCGCTTTCCGCTCCGCCGCGCCGGGGCTGTCACGTGTCGTCGACGTAAGACGGTGCAACATCACGAGGTGGGTAAAGACGCATTACGAAAGGGAAAATCACATCACACACGGTCAGTACATTCCAGGAGAAAGTAAGGTGGATCCACAATTTCGATTATTTACCCAATTAAATTCTCAAAGTACACAGTACACATAAGGAAGCCTCTCATCGACACACTTCAATTTCATGATAAGGAGAATTAACGAATTGAGTACGGATGTTAGCACTCTTTTTCTCCAATTCGATGACGTAAGAATAAAGTGCTAGACTTCGCAAATGCTAAGGTCTAGTGAATTGAAATTTTCAGGGATGATAAAAACGACGTTGATAGTAATCGCGATACTGGATGCATGAGAGAAGTCAAAGAGAACGTTAAAAGTATTCACGTCTTCTTATTCCTCGTTTCAAGAAGTGTCCTCTGAACCAAGTGTAAAGACCAGAATATGGCTACCTTAATAATAACGCCTAACTCTTTTAAAACCCATCTCATCCAATTTGTTGCCTAGCGCTTAGAAGTGTCGTAGTGAAACGCATCATCCGGAAGTAGTTTAAATAAATAGCTCGAATTGGGTGATGAATTATTCAAAGGTAAGGGCATAGCAGTAGGAAACTGCGCTATTTGTTGATACCAAAGCTTTATGCCATTGGCTGGAGAACTTCGAGATTAACGTGGCCAGGGCAACCTTCGATATTTTTCATTGCAAGCGATAGATCAATTGTTTTACACCCAAATCAAGAAGAGAATGTATGGGAGTGTTGAAACAATGAAGAACCACCTACCAACGGATGAAAGTAAACATCAAAGAGCGGCAGGAATTTATTCTTTAATTACTTTAAGCACGTCATAAAAAGGCGTCGTGTACTATAAGCCGCCAGTTGACTAAACGGCGTGTGACGCAAAAAAAGTCTTTTGTATGTCAAAGAAATTATTCAATATCCTTCACTGCCAAGGCATCACTTAATCTCAAGTAGCCTACGTTTCACGGCGTAGTCCTTGCTAGGGGCAACGCTTGTCAAAGCGACGTGACGCAATTCAAAAAAGTTAAGCACTTCCAGGACAGAACAAGGCCTCAAATTGCACAACGCGAAACCTGTTCGTAAAGAGGTCAACGCACTGTTCCAAGTGTCATCTATTGCATTACCTTGAAGCAAGGTCGAACGATAACACCAACACAGGTGAAAGGGAAGGGACAGGTGGAAGTAAAAGTGAGACGAAAACAGACGCCTAGCCCCCAGTCGGTTGAAACCATAAAGGCAATGGATTTTGCGAGAGTTAAGATCCAAACTCTGACGTCAACAGATGAGTTATTCTGCCTCACGACTCTCCCAAGGAATACGTTCCTTTGAAAATGTGAGTGAATTAAAAGTCTGCAATAAGTTTCTTCTAATGGCATTACTTAAATTAGTCAGTTGTTAACAGACATGATAGGTGGAAGCAATAAATATACCCATTTGGATTCAAATAAGTGATAAAATGCACAGAATCAAATCCCATATCCAAAACTACGAAACATTAGCATCGGACGTTTACTTTCATAAACACTAAAATTGAATATGAAGTAGTTCGCAAGAAGCGTCTCCAAGACTTGCCCCAATCTCAAGGCAAGGTGACTTGATGGAAGGAGGTGATAAGACTACTTGCAAACACGATGTTGATTCCCTTAATCTGTACGCCATTTTGCATGCAAGCCTTGCATGAACACTACCATAGTGCCTGCGTTTGAAGCCTTCTGACTACTTTCTAGCACCACTCTTCATTCAGGAGCTGCAGGAGCTGAGAGTAATTAGAACACACTCAAATTTACATAATGATGAACTAATCCCATCCATTGATACAAGCAGAGATCTGCTTGAAGAGAATGGCAGGAAGTGGTGCCCATGGCTTAAGCAAAGCCTATTTTAATCAAAATGTAGCACAAAAGATGTTCCTGTTGTCGGCACAACCTCGTGATTCCAGAACTATTTATTGCCTAGATAATGGTGGACCAAGCGCTGCGTGGAGGTTAGGCAAGCAAATTCCTTCATAAAATGGCGGCGGCAAGCATATGAGCAAACGGATTTATAACCAACCCATGTTCATTAAAAAGCTCTTTTTAAACAAACACGAAGAGACAAAAAATGGGAAATATAGTTTTAATTAAACGCATTGTGACTTGAACCGACACGAAGATGGATAAAAGTGCAAGCACAATAGTCAGTTCAACAACCCACCCCCAAACGGAATAACAGATCAACGGTTGTGAAAACCATCATTTCATACTGCAACACACGACTCCATCAGACATAAACATACCAGTTGGTGCTTTGGCCTCTAACATGTGAGATGTTAATGTATGCCCATTAAAGTGCAGTTTTTGCATGTGGCTGTCATATGAGAACGGAAGGAAGGCATGATTTGTGGCAATCCTCACGCAATTGGCTGCACAATTCCATAACATGAAGGCATCAAACAAAAGCAGCTAACAAGAAAACTGTTCGCCGCAAATTCATTTTGACGGGCTTGCTGCCAATTCTGCGTATATGAGATGTCCAGTTAATACGTCTAAGCCTGGAATCACAAACAAGCATGGCAAACAGATTTGTTGCATTCGCAAGACACAAGTGGATGTGCGGCGTTCTTGATCCGAGGCGATGCCATTATTTGGTGTATCTCACATTAACCAAGCTTGCTAATTTGAATTGAAGGATGCTTGAGAGAAGCAATGAAACAATACACTATCTGACAACTCTATTGTATTAGTCTTTCTACATTGTCTAATTGACAAAACAAAACAAACTGTACAACGCATTCTTGATATGTGATAACAACTAGACTACCGCAGTGTAAACAAATTATAACAGTCCGATTGTGTCATTGTTTGGATACTTACCCTAATCGAAGGAGAACGGTGAAAGACGGAGACTTGTGTACAAATATTATTAAAATATTATTTTAAGGAGAGTAGTTGGGTGCATGCTCAGTGAAAGAATAACTCTAAGCATAACAATTAGCTTGCAGGAAGGCGCCTCAAAATTGCTGCACAAAGCACCACCTGACGGTCAGTACAACTCAGGATTTGAGTTTTAGAGGCACAGCCTCATGATAATAAATGGAGGCGTGCAAAAGTATGCAATTGCGTTTTGACAAAAAACGGTGAACCAAAGTACGGATGACAAGAATAGATTTGGGGTTGCACACGACCACATAATTATTAGTGCCCGCCCCTTTAATTACAATGGAATATAGAATCAGGGAGGATGAAGGAGGAAGGGAAGAATTCAAAGTCACGTGAACACTAGTGCGTAAACAGCTACTTATCATTAGGATAAGAACATAAAACAACGGGTTAGTCAGTAGCAGACGAGACATGGTTGATAGCAGGAGAAGAAGGGAATGACGTTTGCCTAGTCGAACTTATCCCACCACCCGCACTCGCCATCGTCTAGACTTGTCACTATTAGCATCCTGTACGCAAGTTTCGGCATCTTTGGGCACCCCTACAATCTATTCAAAATACACTTACCACTGCACTGGAAGGTCATGTGCTTGGCGTTTCTGTTGTGCCCGACCACTGTTTTGATCATTGCTTTGTAAAAGCAATTATATAAAGCTATGTAAGAACAGCGATGACCTATTCAATTAAGTCCAATCCGCCTTTCACCTAGTTACTGTCAAATGGGAAGAGCAACTTGAACACCTTCGGTGGCAACCCAAATGCAATAAAAGTCTTGCCAACTTCCCCTAAGTCCATGGAATTAATGATGTGCACGAAAAATGAAGAGAGAGAGGAAAATGAAGGCGCCACAAAGAAGAGTTCATATTACCACTTTCTGAAGCAAAGAAAAGAAACTTACGCGTCATAGATGCGGATCTGTTTATCGTCAGCGCAGGAGGCAAGAAGGCGACCGTCGGGTGAGAAGGCAACGGAGCGGACGGGTACGGCGTGGCCATCGAGGGGAAAGATGGCACCTGTTCGCAGGTCCACAATGCTCACGATTCCGCTCACCGCGCCTGCAGCCAGACGCGTCCCATCATAACTCTACAAGGTGAAAGGGGTTGTGCGATAGCCCTGCTCTTCCACAGTCAAATACCAATTCATTGAAACCTTGTAAACTCATGTACAATTTGATGAATGACATGCATTTGTTTTTCGCAGTTCAACAAATGAATGGGTCAAGCCGGCGTTGGCGTAGCGTGCATAAGGCTCAAATCTAAATGGAATGTTTCCAATTTGAAGTTTTACAATTTGTAACAATGAGTGATGTACCTTTTTAAGGACTTCACAATGAACTAGAAAAGTTGTTATGAGGTGGAATATACAAAGGTAATGTGTGACATGAGGCAATCGGAGGAGACTGAACAGATAACTAAGACACCATATTGAGAGCTTTGAAGAGGGTTGAAGAACTCCCCATAGCCATTGGTGTCTCAGTCCCAGAAGGCAGCTGAAAATCAGATACATTAGCGTGAATCTCAAAGTCGAAGAATACCACAGCTATACTGTGTTTATTTTGACTACCTGTAGTGACTGGTGGTCATTTTAGCAGCCACCTGCCGTGGAGGTTGGCTCTCGGGATACGCAATAGCTGCACTCCTACCATTTCTGACGGAATACAAATATCCAGTCAAGGCCAACATCTTTTACTACTGAATGGGAAGTCACAAACCGATACAATTACAATTTGTGAAATTAAAGCAACTCGGAGAAAGGAAAATGCCAACGCAGAAGACTTATATTTTGTACCAATGAAACACTATCATGAGCAACACCAGAATGAATAAGAATGGCAAATACAAGCAACATGGGAGAGAAACGTGGAGCAAACAGATCTTTGGCAACTCCCTTTGCTCCATAATTTCTCGGTTCAGATGTGTCGGTCAGATCAACATATACATCTGTTTCAGTCTGATTGCCATATCCTTCTAACCAATCAGAGCCTTCAGTTGTGCTGTGACAAAAAATAAATTCACCAGTGATTAATAATTATGCTGATAAAATTCATTCCCATATATTTTTTTGCAACAAATACCTGTTCTCGCTGTGAATGGATAGCTGAAATTATTTTTTGTTGCAGCAACAGAGGAGGAAAGAGTGCTGTGCGCATCACAAGGCACCCGAATCAGGTAGGGGGAAGCCCAAGGTCAGGGGCGAAATGATGACATTGAACCATCACTTTCCTTATGCACTACGCCAAAAACCAAATCTCAGTATTCAAATTGAAGTTGCTATCAACTGTGCTAGCAACTGAGGGCTAAAAACTAACTAAATAAGTCTCGGAAAGCCTCTCAGGTAACTTGGAAAGGTGACTGGGGATGACCATAGACGAGAAAAGTATCGCAGAGAGGAGGAAGCGTGAACTCGAAGCTAACAATCGCCAGAGAAAAGTCAAAACAGGTTCCCAAAAGACAGCGCTAAAATAATTTTACAAAAAGTGATTACGTGTTTGCCTACCAAGATTGTGGATTGAACTGAACCCAGAGGGAGATGGAAACTCACTACTCATTTCCACTTCCAAGAACCTGTATCCGTTAGAACTCCAGTTAATGCCAAAAAAAGTTACGCTATCCGCGACGTTATTACGCTCGGTGATGATGAGACTAGGAAAAAGAACCCATATGAGCGAGTCCGGGAAAGATAGTGCTGATGGGAGCACCAAAAAGTTCAAGAATGAATATACTTTGGTTTGCTAAATACGTGCCACCTAATGAACTCGTTTAAGACGAGATGTTAAAAAAGACACTTGAAGGAAAAAATAAGACCTTTTCCAGCATGCAAAAGTTGGAGTTTGATAATACCTGAAGGACCTAAAGCATCATCACCAAGCTTCTATGGGCGCATGCAGAAAAATTGACCATAATCCACGGCAGAGAGTTGATTAGGGTTGTGGATAATCAAGGGTGAGCTCTGCCGCAGACTAACAAAAGGCCATGATTAGCTGTCTAGTGAAAAACACCTTGAAGCCTGGCCACTCCCTGAAGCAAGGATAGAGCTCGACGTATTCAATACAATAACTAGGTGAAACTTTTAAAGGTGACAGCATAACCAGCTACACCTTTTTCGAATTGCCAAGAAGAGAAGCATATCATACTGAAGGCCACTTGACAAAAAGCCCATTAATCATATCAGTTAGAGGCCAGAGTAATAATAAGCTGTTCTGAAAACGCATGGACATTGCTCTAAGTAGATTCCAAAAAAGTTAACGATGGGATGCAGACTGAGTGACAAGTACATAGGACATGACCACCGGAATTCGTGATCTTATTAACAAGGTAATGCTTGCGACAATACTCAAAAAAATGCACCCAATAAGCTAATCTCCTATAAAAAATTTGGCTAAAACATTGCCATCATTGTCATTTAAATGTAGATAACACTTCACCAAAGTACTTAACCAGAGTAGAAAAACGGTTCCCCAGGCCAACTACTTAATGTATTCGTAGCCCCGTATTAGCCCCATCCTACCGTATCGACCGGAAGTCCGATTTGCCACTTGAAGCGGGACGGACGGTGGTAAATCATAGACCTGGCATTTAAAAGTCCTTTCGTCAAGGCATCATCAATAGCCCAGCTGGGCTGTAAATGCCGAAGGCGAATTCACACTACCTTAGGTGGAAGCTGTAACATCCGCGTGATATAGGCATGGTAAGTGATGTGGGAGTCTACACGTCGACGTTTTTTTTCCTTTTTGCGCCACGACATTGCCTTTAAATCAAGCACACCTTCATTCGGCGTCAGTTGGTCTACTTGAAAAAAAGGTGAAGTTAACCTATTTGAAGACTGCTATTCGGTTATTAAACGTAGCCATGGTCACTCAGCGATTGGGAAATCATAATGAAAAGAAAAAAACTTAGTAATTAAGATTCGTCTGCGAATGCAAACGCTTGATGTGCAATTAAAAGGGAGTAACATTAAATCCACAATATTCCGTCACTCGTGACCCTGTTTATCAGGTGCAACACGAAAGGGTGTAATAATTTAGCATGCAATCCTGACAAACCCAGTGTCAAAACGTTCTTGAGCGCTTTTGTAGAGATATGCAGAACATACCTTACATGTGAGAAAAAGAAGGAACAATTGTTTTATTCCATCAGTCTCAGTTTCAAAAAAGACTGTCCTTATCAACTTCCACTTGCAATGCAAGCTTTAGCAACGAACTACTTCGCCTCATCAAGCCATTCATTCCAGTTACTCAGACTCAGAGCACCACAGTCTGCTGTACTTGCTCAAATTTACACCTCAAAAGCAAAAGTTTTGGCAACGAATAGAATTTCAAGCGTGTCAGGTGACAGGTGAATGGTTCCACACCCTGGGTAGTTTTGACATTGCCAACAGCCAATATGAGGGCCTATTATCCCTATCATCTTACAATGCCTAGAACTCGGCATTTTTAACCAATAAACTAAGCAAGTTGCATCCCGGTTGTCTTCCCCTTAAGTATATTCCCATTTGCTATTCTGTTTTAAACATCAAACTAAACTATATGTTGTCACCTTCATCTTACCACAAAAACAAACAACAGAGACGTCATGAATGATTACAAAGGATGGCATCAATAACAAGTGATAGACATCAAGTCACGTACGTGATGCAAATTCTACCAGTTCTGCCACATTTCCAGGCGAACAATATCTAAAAAGCTCATATCTGCCTTATGCCTGAAATTAATGTCAATTGACGAAGGAAGATTGCGTCCAGATTGGAACCGTACAGGAGTGCAATGTTGAAGGCATTAAAATGCAAAGAAGGATTTAACACAAATGCCAAAACATTTACTGCCAAATGCCCATGCATACATACAAATCACTTTAGAAGCTTACAAATCATTGAACAATATATTTCGCCTTCATCGACTTTTACCTTAGTTATGAAACGTGCAGCAGTGCTTGTAAGTGATGCTCCGTGAATACACCGTACCACAAGATCACTGGCATTTGGTTTGCGAAATAAATACACTGCTCTTAAAAGAAACAATTCCATAACGAGATGGAAGGTGACTTACGTAGGCAAGACAGTAGACAAACTTTCCATCGAGGCTGATTGAACTCTCTAGCTTATGAGACTCAACGCCAATCATATGAACGGCACCAGAGTGGCTACCGGTGGCGATGAAACGAGAATCGGGCGAGAAGGCCACTGACCATGTCTCTGCCGGTTCGCCCTCGAAAACGCTCACCTGACGGCGCTGCTCAAGGTCCCAAAATATTATCTGTAACAAAATGTGAAGAGCTTCCGTGACCAAGTGAAGCGCTATCAATTTAAACACCTCCAATGAACTGCTAACTTGGAGGATTCAACCGTTGATTTATTTCGGTACGATGACATTAGCCTTGGCTGTATACTTAATCGTACTCTTCAGTATCTTCACAACACCAAAGATGCCAGTCTCCAAATCGCCCGTGTTGGTGGTAGACTTACTTGCTAGCGCAAGTACTGCATTAGTATCCGAACTCACTACAAAAAGCTAACAACGTCGAATTAGAGCCGATAGACAAAAGAATGGGCGACTGGAGATTTACACGAGAAAGGCAGCCGAAATTGTGACAGATTTTGGTAACAATGCCTACTCTATCATTCTGGTAATTGCCCAGTGTAAAGGTGAGAGGGGAAGACAAAATCACAAAGTATACAAGTTTCACCGTAGATGTACGCGAATTCCGTTCCTGAGGTGCTGTTCCAATGGTTCATGTAATTTCAAATACTTAAAACCGCGCAGGTTTCAACCAAAAGTTCAGACAGTGAGGTGGAAAAAACTGGAAAGCTTCCCCTTTCCTATAGAGTGAAATTCAATTGCCATGCAGTGTCGCAGTTGAGAAATGATTCGAAATAAAGCCAACAAAACCAAAAAAAGAAGGAAGGCTGTGAGCTTCAAACATTTTGTGCAATGACCCGAAGTCCACAGTCCAAAGGTACACTTTTGCCTTACCGCATTTTAAGCATTTGAATAGAGAGAGTGGGTTGCTGAGACAATGATAACTTTCACTTTTCTCAGATCAAAGGTCAGCACATTAACAACAAGAGCACAGGGGAATTGACGCACACACACACACACCTTACGAACAGATCGAAATTCGGTCGCCACATACTTTTGGGGTGGCTCTGACCTATTGTTAAGAGGAATTAGAAAATGATAGGCTGACTCTAAGGCTAAGAGAACAAGTAAAAAATGAACGACAATGCAAACTTCAGTGTTAAGGTAATGAAGCGAACTTTAGCGGACAGGAGAATTTTGACATAGATGGTTAGATGTCACAAGCAGAGAACTACTCAACTAAGCAGAGCTTTAAAAACCGCCTCAATCATGAATTGGTGGCGAAAATGAGCCACATATCTGGCACAAGGACTGTTTACAAAACGTCGGATAAGAGGTTCTGAGTTCTCGTATATTATATTGTGCTGCAGAAATGTGAGAGAACTAAACACCATACTACAGCAAAATTAAAATAGAATTCAGATGACAAGAAGGGATACAGAGTACTAGTTATTTAAGAATACTCGATATTGCGCTTTACCAACTAATTCTTCATAAAATCCAGTAATTTCGATAGAAACGATTTGAGAGAGGAAACTGTCAGAGAAAAAGGCACTGTTCCATAGGTTTATTTAGTCAGAGTTAAAAAGGAAATGGTTATTAGTACCAACCAAAATGCCCTCTTAGTGTCCATCTAGTGACCTATCCACCCTCAAATGCTCGTATAAGAGCTGTACGTTGCAAGTACGCAATAAATTGGAGATTTTCTTTTGATTGGCGCAGAACTAACTAAATAAATGGAAGTGTAGTGTTGAAAAGAAGGTGACTATCAAGGAACATTAGGTAGATCAGTGTAGTAATTTCCCCATTGGGCGCACAGTTAAGAAAGGGAAACAGAGCATTGAGAAACAATAAGAGAACGGATGGCAACATCGCTATTAGCCTCAAAGGGCTCAATCGAGGGATTCTCCATGAATTTGTACACAATTTAAAGCGGCTCAAAATGAAGGCACAATACCAGCCAAGAATCAGTAGGTCACATCGCTTGCATCATAAGACACCAGCCTGGGCTTGAATAACGCCAAACCGATTATTGTTGCAGAATTGTGAATGTACCAAAAGATCTTAAATTGCGTTTGCACACCAACCCGCTTGGTGGTGATAGAAGTGGCAGCTAAAAATACCAGTTAAGAAGTCGCTCAAGCACAATACCATTGTGCGATACATTTCATGTTCAGGCAGTGGGATTTGGGGTGTGTGAGCGTGTCAGTACGCCTCAAAGGAGGAAACTGAGATCGTTCATATTTATGAAGCCACTGATATCCCATACTCAACAAGTATATCATAAGCATCATCACAAATAGTGTCTGGTTAGGTCCGGTTTTGCACGCCCAATTATTGAGAGCTGGTAGATCAAAAGCTAGCCCGACCAGTGACCATAAGTGCCAACACAACGTCTACTGAACGAAATATAAGTAAATTTTGTACATAAGCGAAACTTGCCTGGTTGTCAAGACTGCCTGAGGCAGCAAGGGTGCCTGGCTTGTTAATGTCGACTGAAACGATACCTAAGCGATGACCATCCAAGGGACCCAAAAGATTGAGTGCATTCCCATCCCTAGAAAAATAAAACCAAGCATCTCCGTCTATTTTATCAAAGAGCAAAATGTTGACCGCAAAGCATCAGGTATTCTAAAAAGGTTCATGGAAAAGACTTCACTAGTACGATACGGATAATTTCCCAACACACGAGGATTGACAATTGTTGGAAGCAAATATGAGCACAAAAATAGTTTCCCCAGAACCAGCGCTCCACAGACCACACCAATAAGCAGTCCAAATGAAAGACAAAGCGCTACCATTAGTGGGACCAAACAGAGATTATTAACTCATCGCCTCAGATGAAATTTCCCAAGTTCTGGTGCTCCTCTATACGATGCGATAGGCATTTTCAGCACCGAGTTATTCCATAAAACAGATAAGTGGATAATAGAATATCAAGCCTACATCTCACAAAAAGCCGTTTCCATTAGAAGCTAACAACAAATTGCACATTGCGCAAGGTAAAAGTGACTCACCAGTCCCAAAGTTTGAGACTGTTGTCCAGGCAACCAGTGATTATTAGATCCTTTCCGTCAGACTCGCGTTTACGCCAGGAACAGCACCATATGCCATCTCCATGGGCTGGGAGAGAGTGAAACTAAGTGTCACTCAAGGGAAAAAAGGAAGAGCTTGTGGGAAAGTTAACGTCTATATAAAAAGGTTATTAAGTGATCACTAGCGAGATGAACAGACTAACCTCTGAAGCAATAAGTTTGCACAAATAGACTTTAGAGACAGTGAAGGTCATAGAAGTGGTTTTACCTTTTTCCTGTTTGTACTTGAGGGAATACTAAAATAGAATGAAGGAAAGTAAGTCAACTCCCAGACATTACAATGCTTGCAACCACGAAAAGAGAAGATGATACCAAATGGGGCTACTCTAATCATTCTTAAATTTTCTCTATTTAGTGAATACATATGCAGAACATAGGCATGCTGTAATCTATAAGATTTAATGCCGTTTTAACAAACAATTCACAATCACTTGCCTTCATGAAAATTCAGAAATTAGAGATCTAGGGATAACTACTTTACGTAAAAGCATGAAATGAACAACAATCACAGTTGAGTGTTGAGTAGCAACACAGCATCAGCGAAAAGAAATTCGAAAATTCCAGCATATGACATAACGAAAAAGTGGAAAAATTTTTATTAAATGATGCGCTATGGATAATGCAAAAGTGACCCTAACATTGTCTCTTT